ACATCCACCACCTTCTTACCTATTGCAAAATAATAACACACAGGTAAGGAAAGGTATCATTGTGTTTTTTATTCCCTCTGTCTCCAGGCAATTACATTATTAATTATATTATAGGTATGTATACAGAATGCATTGTACACATTGGAGCTATCAAAAAGCTACCAATCATCACTAAGCTACTGCTAGTAAATGCGGCTGCACATTTTTTAGCCATGGATGTGTACTTATTCTTTATTTTATTACTATTGTGTGTTTTTTTTAACATGTTAGCTACTTTTATTATGGCTTGCCTTTTAGCTGCCATGTCACTTTTGCTGTAACGCTGTAAAAGTAAATAAGATTCTGATTACGAGTCACAGAAGGGGCTCCAAGTTTAATGTATTTTACAACTGTGAACTGACCCTGCAGGCTGTCGAGGAACTTGGGGTATCGAACGTGCTCGTCGGTGCCGTGTCCGAGCCGCTGGTTGTCCCCCTTCCCCCAGGTGTACACCTGTCCGTCTTTGGTGAGGGCCACGGAGAACTGGCTGCCGCAGCACACCTTCACGATGTCCAGGTCCTGCAGCTTCTCCACCAGCTTGGGGGTCTTACAGCCGTCACTGCCCCCCCGGCCCAGTTTACCGTAGTCCCCGTCCCCCCAGGACCAGACCTGACCTGTGGGAACACACAGGGGGCGAGTTAATAAGGTATTTCTCTGTCTGTACACACAAACTGTTCACACAAACTGAAAGATTGACAATAAAATTGAATTTGCCTTTTTCTGAGCAATTGATTCAAATAAGTACAGAGCACATGCCATCCCATGCAGCTGCCTCGAGAAAAAGCGCTACTCCCAGCATATATTTGATTGCTCTTTTGTGCTGCCGTTCAGTTTGATTCAAGTTGACAATATTTCAACTTTTCAGAAAAGCAACAGGTGTCTTTGAGCCGATCAACCCTGATTGACCCTGGTTGTTTTTGTTTGAAAAAAAAGACTTGTGTTCTTACCGTTTTCTGTCACAGCGAGTGTTTGTGCATCCCCGCTCCCACAGGCCACGTCCATCACCTTCAGCCCCTTCAGCGCCGTCACCAGCATCGGGGTGTTCTGGTCCTCACTGGAGCCTGAGACCACACAGAAGCAGGGGTTAGACTTTCATATTTCCAGTCATTTTAATAAATAAATAGATACATTGTACTTTTCGCATTAAAGTCTGTCAAAATGACAAACGGACTTCAGGGGTTTCAGTAAGTGTAGCAAATAAATCAGTTAAATGTCAGGAAATGTGTCATCATCCAGCGGTTTACTGCAGGAGGATCTTACCGTGGCCCAGCCGGCCGTAGTTCCCTCTGCCCCAGGTGTACAGCTCTCCATCAGCAGTGATCACCGCGCTGTAAGTGCTGCCACACGCTATGTGCACCACATGCTTCCCTGCCTGCTTCCCATTGAAGGCTGCAATCATGGTCGGCTCCTCTAGATACCTGAAAGAAAGAACACAGAGGTAATGTAGCGGACAAATACAAGAAGCTTTTCAGGAAAATTCTAATAAAATAAAATAAAAAATGTATGTCAAGCTTTGATTTATGCTTTTTTTTGTTGAGGAAAGTTAGTGTTATAATTACAATCATTTAACCAAATTCCTTCTACTAAATTCTAAAAATATTAGCCGATTTATACATGTTTGTGTTTTGCCACAATAGGCGCTTTCACACCGCAGTACTTTTCCCACAAAGGTTCATCAGAACTTAGTTCATGAGAACTAAAGAGTTCTCATGAACTAAGTACAAATCGCGTTCATACCGGAATAAGTTCCTGGGGAAGGATTAGGCAAATGAAGCCGCTGACGTCACTTCTTCTTCTTCTTCTGCTTTGGGTTTACTGGCAGGCCGCAAACAACTTCACTGCGTATACTGCCACCTGGAGTCCCCGGCCGGAAGTCCCCGGAGTTGGGGACTGGCAACCGCCAGTAAATCGCCAGAACGCCGACACCTCTTCATCTCCACCGCTCCCATGTTTTCTTTTGTGTTGCCATAAGTTAGTCTCTCTGCGTTGGTGTGCTGGGCTAATGCTAATGCTTAATGCTAATGCGAGGATAATAAAATGGCGGCTTCACAAAACTTTTTGGGAGTTTTACGGGGCGTGGTTTGCAATCCGCCCAGCCAATCAGACATAGGAACCTTTTTCTCCCCGAAAGTCCCTGCTCTCTAGCAGGGATGGAAAACTGAGTAAAAAGTTTCTCATGAACTCATTTTTGTTCCGGATTTCTTTGGTGTGAACGCAACATTTCGGAACTATATCGGAACTAAAGTGGGAAAAGTACTGCGGTGTGAAAGCGCCTAATGGTACCTTCAGTCTTCCATATCAATGATATTTTATAGTGGAGGTGGCAATGCAAAAGTGGCGTATCTGGCAGGCATCACACTTACCCAAGTTCTATACTTTAGTACAATTTTGCAGAATTCCCAGCAGTATGTTGAGTTAAGGTGACGTTTTATCTTGTGGACATATACCATGTCTAAATGAGACCAGACTTTTACTTGTATGAGAGTATTTGAGTATTAGTACTTTTATCTGAGTGCTTCTTCTACCACTGGGAGCAGTTAGGTGGATCTTGTAGAGATCAAACAGCCGCAGGGTTTCTTTAAGTTGCTTACGTTGTGTCTCCGTGTCCCAGACGGCCTCCGTCCCCGCAGCCCCAGGAGAACACCTCCCCGTTGGAGGACAGGGCGAGGTAGTGCTGCCCGTCAGGATGAGCCGCCAGCTTCACAATCTTCCTGGAGCTCAGACCGTGGATCAGCATCGGAGCCTGAAACCAACAAATTAAGAAACTCAATCTTCAGCCGAAAATAGAGATAAAAGGATCTGCTTCCAGGGCTGCACGATAAATACAAATGTTATTGAAATCGCAATGTGGAGTAGTGCAATAGAGGGGAGCAGGGATGAAATGATCTTTTTGTAAATCGACCCAGAAATTAGCATCACACCACAAAAATATTGTTCCATTCGACTTTTGATTATGTCGAAAATAATCTCTGTGTCAAACAAACGATACTTACACGTTTTGTTCAGCAGGATAATCTCGACATATTAACACCACTTGATGAGTTCTGAAGTGGGCTTTTTACTGACTTATTTGATGTCATAGAATAAAATGTTAAAATCTCTTCAGCTTGTGTTAACCACAGACCTTATTTCAGTAATAAAAGTATAGAATAAAGTATAAATAAGGTCCATTGACTTTAAGATGAGAGACTTTAACACAAGCTGAAATGTTCCCTGTTATATATCATATAATGTTACAGTTGCTATCAGTAAAAAATGGTCGCAATACGCTATGTTTTCCAATTGGTGCAGCCCCATCAGCTACTACTACTGAGAATGCGTTAATAAACAGAATCCACCTGTGTGTCAGAACTGACCAGGGTTGTGCTCTTGTAGTTTTGGGTGTAAACGGCACCGCTGCTGGACAGGATGAGGAAGCCCTTCTCCGAGCACACGATCTGAGCCACCCCGACGCTGGACAGGGCTTTGCACTGGATCGGCCCGTTAACGTTAGCGTAAAGCTTCCAGCCCAGAAGGCCCCAGGCGATCACCTCCTGCAGAGTTCCCTGAAACAAACAAGGGCAGCGAGGAGGACACATCTGTCACATGGGCTGAAACACATGAGCATAACAAATACTGCGTAGACAATTAAGGTCAACCTTTGAGAATTGATTAACTGTCGTGCAAAAATAAACAAATCTTGAGAGCCGTTCCTCATACAAATTGCTGTGAAGCTTACACGTTTTCTCGTTTAAAATTGCGCAGCTCTTCAACTTTAAATTCTGATACATTACATATTTAAAAATGTTCAGAGTAACTTGTCAAGTTCTTGTTGTACTTACTATTTGGATATTTATATTCCTAAGAAGATTTTCTTTTAATTATGAATTGTATTAATGTTTAATAGTTGTTGTGGCAGCGGGGTGTGGTTAGGGCGCCGGCTGCTGGAGGGATGGGAGTGGCTCGGCCGGAGACCAGACAGCTGGGCAGAATCAGGTAAGCTCTCAGTATAAATGCTGGTAACCTGGTTCTGCTCTCTCGCTTGCAGTGATCCACGGACCCCGAGCAGCCTCAGGACCTAGCGGGGCTAATTGTCAAAGCTTGTTTTTGTGAACCTCTCCCTCCCTGGCAATAAACCTGGTCCTTTTTCACAATCCACCTTCGTCCATTTTTAACCCCAGTGTGAACCAGAAAGTTCACAGTTGTTTCTAATAGTTCCATATTAGAAAAAATAAGAAACCAAGACATTTATTTATTTAAAATTCATAGTAAAAGCTGCCTTTCATATAACTTTAAGGGAACACATTTTCCTGATGATGTAATCCAGCTACATGTACTCTATGCCTGATCACTAACCATGCTGAGTTGGTAAGAGGAGTTCACCTTGTGTGATGTGGGGGAGTTGCAGTGGGGGGGGCAGCAGGGAGAAGCCAGGCGGTCCAGGTGAGCCATGATCACCACGGCCGTCTGCCGCAGGTCGATGGCCAGGTCGTTGTCCTGAGGCAGCGTCAGGTAGCGCAGGAAGCTCTCGTTAGGACTCATCTGCACTGTGAGGATCTGAGAATCCCAGCAAACAATCACAAAGTTCAAGTTAGCTTGAATCTTAAACAGGAAGAGGACAACAGGCAGGTTATACTGTATGTTGTCGATTCAGGGATGAACACTTTGCTTCAAAGAATGTAGAAAAATTCAGTTATTTAAAAAAAGAAAATGTCTTATTTGTATTTATTCTGATTTTATTCAATCCTGTGTTTAAAGTGTTCTTATTAATCAAATTAGTATTGTTTTAGTTTTTTGGTGTACTGTTTATGTTTTGTGAAACATTTTGTGTTACCTTTGTGTATGAAAAGTGCTATATAAATAAAGTTTAATTTGATTAGTTAGTGTGAATGAAGTCTAATACTCTGTTTTGACACACTGTGATTTCATTTAAGAGGGTTCTTCTCATATCCTATGTTTAAAGGTAGGGTAGGTAAGAATGGAGAAACCAGCTCGAGTGCACTAGAATTTGAAAATACGCAGCTGAAAAAAATCTGCCCCTTCCTTCAGACTTCCTTACAGAGCCCCTCCTCCAACACACACGAACATGACCAATGAGGGCACGAGATAAGTTTGTAAATAACAGGTAGGCCATCCAGTTATTTTAGCCGGGCCGGCTCAGATGATTGGTCGTGCTTTTTACAGCGCCACAGCTTCCACAGATGAAATGTTTGTATGTATTTATTGACAAAGCATTTCATGTATTCATTGCTATCGGGATGTTAAGAGCATTCCATGGAATATAACAAAAAGTGTTTCTGAAGTGAATTACCTACCCCACCTTTAAGTGGCATTCAAATGAGTTAAAACAACATTTGTTCCATTTCTAACATCCCTTCGGTGTCTAACTGTACTGCTAATGAGACAGCTGTTTCAGAGAGGAGATATTACCTCAGCTTCCTCTTCAGCGACGGGCTCCTCCTTGCTGCTGTGGATGTTGTGAAGGCGCTGCAGGAGGGGCAGCAGGGGGGCGCTGGTTCCCTGGGTGGAGCGCTCGTTATCCATCTCTCTGGTGCCGCTTTCCCACAGGCGCAGCAGCAGCAGAACAGCAGAAAGCAGCTGACTGCACACACACACACACACACACACACACACACACACACACACACACACACACACACACACACACACACACACACACACACACAGTGAGCAGAGAGCACTTCAGCAGGGTGTCAGCAGAGGCATGTGAGCGGGTTTAAAGGTGTTGAAGGTTACCTCAGGGTGCCCCTCTGCACAGCCAGCTCCAGCAGGATGGCCAGCGCCAGGTGCTGATCCTGCAGAGGAATGTTGCCTTTGGTGCTGGCACTCCCATGTACGTCACTACACATGAGAAACACAAAATATTATTAAACACATCTTACAAAAGAGTCCTAAAATCCAAATACCATTCAGCATTTTAGGACTTTCTGTTCCCTCATCTGGAAGTCAATGTGTTTTTGGTCGTTGTTCTGAAATAAGGTCTGTGGTTAACACAAGCTGAAGGGATTGAGGAGTAAATAACGAACCTGAGGAATTTGGTGGCCCTCTCGACGACTTCCAGCCACACGGATGATACGGTCCCCTCGTCGAACAGCGTGGCTTCAGGCAGCGCTCGCAGGGCATCCAGAGACTCCTGCAGCAGCTCACTGCAGAGGTCTGCGTCGTCCCCTGAAACACACCAAACACGCTTCTGTTTTATACGAGGCACAGTGGTCAGATTACCTACCCCACAAAGAGGGGGGGAAACATCTGAAATGTACAATTTGTCAAACCCAGCATGAGCGCAACAGGAGGGTACACAGTGGTTCAGTTTACAGTAAACTCACATGTTTGCATACAATTTAAAAAGCCTTTAATTCAATGGCTTTCCCGACTTGCAGCAATCTAAGAGCACCATACATTCATATAACCATCGGAATAAAACGTCTATTTAATCTTATAAATCACTTTATGTAAATGTTCTAGTTAGAAAAAAGAGTGATTATCTTTTAAAATAGACATTTTAAGCTTAATTTGGATTTTAATTCAATAAAATCACATCCAGTACATCCCTATTGATTATATGGGCTCATCCATGCATGCATTTCATCTTAAAACAACAGGTCACTAATGAGATAAAACGAGCCCTATCCTTATTGCACTTGAAGAAACTCTAAAATCTTAATGTCTAAGATTTGGGCGGTGGGTGAATTAAAAACTGTTACACCGCTCTGACCTAGTGTGTGCTAGGAATAGAGCGAGGCTGTGGTGCGTGTGTGTTTTGTGCGTGTGTGCGTGTGCGTGTGCGTGTGCGTGTGCGTGTGTGTGTGTGTGTGTGTTGCTCATGTTACAGGAAGGCTTCAGAGAGCAGACAGGCTCTTTTGTTCCCACCCAGTCCCTGAGGACCGGCAGCTCTCCTCTTCACATCAGACCACATTCTACATCTGCTAACATGCTAACATGCTAACATGCTAACAGGAAGGACTTTTAAACACTGCTGCTTTTTTTGTTTGCCTTCACTTATACTGGGGGATTAACTTCTTATTTTACAATAAAATTAAATATAGGAAATGCAATTTAAATAAATATATATAAATATGTATGTAATAAATCATAAATAAATAATCTGAAATACAATTAAATAAATCTGACTTTAATCTAATTTTTCAGTTTTTTCAGAAAACGAATAGAAAAATCTGAAGAAATCTAATTATTAAATCTACATAATCTACATTTTTTATTTTTTAAATGTCTTAAATGATTACCTTTTTCGAAAAAATAATCAGAATTCTGTCTTTTATCTCAGGACTGAAAAAGAAAATGTTTGAATACTTCAATGCAGTAGTTATAATGGTTCAAACTAATGCAATAAGATAATTCCCCATGTTGTTCAGCCCTCAACCCCAGCAGCTCTTCATCCATCTGATATCACAAGCTCAGGCTACAAACATAGCATTGAGAAACATGTCGGGTTGTTTACTATGAGCAGTGTGTCACATGGTGCAAGATGTAAATCCACAGCTGTGTAGTGACGCTCCATCACTCTGACAGCAGCTATCAGCGGCTCTAACACAGACAGGAAACTCTTACCTGACCTCCAGGCGCGGCGCAGGAAAGCGAAGGCGAAGGAGAGAGCGGCTCTGGAGCCAACTCTGGCCAAACCTTCAACTCCTTTACTGGCAGGACGAGTGCTGAAAAACAGAGCAGAACACACAGAGATTAACATGAGAGGGTGAAGAAGAGGAAAACAAAGTGAGCACTTGATACCAGGCTGTAGGCTTTAACTCATGTATACACAGTATAAGTGTTTACCATTACAAACTGTTGTTTTTACTGGACTGGTTTAATCTACAGCTTTAGTTTGTTTTTCATAGCTTTCCTGGAAAACACTCGGGTTTTTCCAAGAGAGCTTCTGGGGCTGTACTGAATAGTTTGAAGCTTGAAGAGCACAATTGTTTAAAATAAACTTGGAAAATGCCAACTAATCTTTATATTTCTTTATGGCCAGACACATACAAAACAACCAGCTTTAATATACACGTTTAGATCTGTTGCAAAGCTATACAAAATGTGTGTCAAATACATTCAGAGAGTTATCGAAAAAACCTCAATAGACGCTTTAAAATGGATATACATTTTAAATAAAAATAAGTACAGCCCTCACAACTATGCAGGGGGGTCAAACTCAAATACACAGTGGGCCAAAATAAAAAATGGGTACTAGTCGAGAGCCGGACTGGTTCAATGTTTATTGCAGAACTTATTGAAATGAACTTATTGCACATATTAAACCTGGAACTAACAAAGCTTAAATTATTGCCTATAAAAACAACATTAAACATTAAATAATCAGTTGCATTCATTTCTTATGGCTCTATCTGCAGCTTTTCCAGAGTCATTTCTTATGATTACATTTTCCCACAGGCCAACAACAGCTTCAAAAAAACTATTTCCCTCAAAGAACAAACCAAACATGCCCTGTTGTCGAGAGAAACAAAGTGCAGAAGGAAACATCCATTAAACTCAGTGTGCTGCTCTGTGATGCTAGTTCAGATACTTGGCATCTCATCTTGGGTGTTGTGGAGTAGAAGTTGTTCTTCTTTTTTTTTTTTTTTGGTGTTGTACGGACACACAGCGTTCTTTTTTTCACCGTCTGCTCCTTTGTAGGTTACCTGTA